CCCCAAAACCCCAAAACCCCAAAACCCCAGGAAGGAGAATAGCGGTTGAATGAAATTTGTGAGGGCATAAAGTGATTTTTGGTGGTTATGGGACGATTGTTGGGGAGGTAGTGAGAGTATGGGGTTGGGAAGGTCTTGGTTTGAGGATTTTGCGGGTGATATGGCTCGTTATTTTGGAGAGTGAGATTTGGTTAACGGAGATATTTTGGTCAGCGAATTGATCTAAGTTTCTTCGATGGGACTAAAGTAGTGATTTTATCTTACTCTAGGGATCTCAGAGACCTCAATTTTTACTTTGTTTTTCTTCTTTCTTCATATTTTCTGCTTGAATTCCAAGAAGTTTCCAACTATAAACAAGATAAGTTAATATTCCGTGATGAGAATTTTTAACCCAAAATAATAACTACAATACTTAAAGAAATTCCATCAATCCAAGAGATTTACAAAATTCTCCCATTCCCATCAACTTAACACATAACCTCCAAAACTCCTCTCTGTCCTCCTTCGAATTCCGTATGGCACTATCACCCAAAACCTCCATGAACCACCGCTATCCTTACCTAGAATTGTCAACACAACTATTGTTGAGTTCATCATCATTGTCCATAAGTATAAACTTGTAGGCCATCCCTTCCAGGTTTGTTTCGAGTTATATTTCAGAAGGAAAGCGACAAAGAATATGTAAAATACTTCATTCATTCACTCTACCACATTATTTAGATTATTCTCCATTGGCCTCAGATATAACAAGTGGAATACATAAAGAACTTGAATCAAGAGCATGAATCCAACCAGAAAAATACATTCATAATTATTGAACAACACTAGTAGTGAGCAAAACAGCAATCTTCTCAAAATCAAAAATGGTGTGTAAAATTTACTGTGTTTAGATTCTCTAAGACCTGCAGTAAATTCCCCAAATTTATCATGCTGATCCATTTTTTCTTGTTTACAAATTTGCATGAAAGCCAACATTAGGAATATAATTCAGCATATTACCAATAAAATAGCAAACATTTCAGAATTTATAACTCTGATATCAAATTTATTTATTCTTCTGAGTTCACTAATTGATGAAATATAAACGAACTGGTAACCTTCCAACAATAGTCTAATATAAATTCCAAATGTAAAAAGTCTCCACACAGGCTTGAAGATCTTAGCACATCTATTTCTTCAATCATTGTTCAAATATTTTTCTTCTCTCGGACAGCAGCATAGTAGCAAATGTACGAAAGCAAAAACTAAAACCATAAATACTAACCCGAAGTTGTTGTTAAATGAGCTACCAGATTCTAATCCCATGTCTTCGAGTTCGATGCTGCTTTGGGTCTTACTCATCCATTCTAAAGGTACTTCTGCTATTGTGTTAGATTTTATCGGTAGAAACTCCATGTTGAATGAGAAAAACCCATTCGTTGTAATGTATCCAACAATATCATATGGAAGAGAACTCTTTGTTAACAGAAGTAACAGCATCAGTTGCACTTGGTTTGCCATTGCCCAGAGAGCCATTGGAGCAGAAAAGTTCATCAGTGAAACTATGAGTCCTATTAAAGACCCGACTCCAGTTATTGCAGCTGAGCCAGATGACATCGCCTGAGCAGACTCAGAAACTTGGACATAGCGTCAAGTAAAGTCTTTGTTAAGCCCATAACCAGCAATACAAGTAACTCATATAGTGTTGTTTTGTGAGTCACATGTTTGACAGTTCTCAATGATTCATTTAAGTCTGCAAGTGCTTCGAGAAGTTTGGCTTCCTCCTGTACATACCCACTCATCTTCAACACTTCAAGAGTCACTTCAACCATCTCCAGAGTATGAGTTTGCATCATCTCATTGCTCCTCTGCATAAATAAGTCCATCTCCACAGATCGGTCCACAGTCATCTTTTTGAGTAGGAGATCCTCCTTGACAACTATATCCAATCTCAACCTGTCAAGTAGAAGATCAGCCATCTCCATCATCAGTATTATCATCATCTCAATATGTTGTTAAAGAATTGAATCTCTTTCCGTCTCCACAATCTTCAGTACAAGTATCTTTGCTAGAAAGACTTCCACCAATTCATGTCCAGCCAACTTCTTGCTGACAGGTATTGCTTCAGCCGTCTCCTGAATTTGTATTTTGATCATCTCAAGTTTCAGATATAGTTTTGATACCATCTCCTCATTCCTCAGCTCAAGAATCACTTCCAGATAAGTTTCCACCTGTACAGATCCATCCGGTTTCTTGCTGTCAAGTGTCGCTTCACCCATCACCAGAAATTTTGTTCCCATCATCTCAAGATTCTGATGAAACCTTGATCGCATCTCCTCAGATTGGAGATCAAGTGTCTGGAGTTGTGGAATCTCCATTAGTTCATTTATAGCCAGTCTCAAGTTGGCAAGAATTTGAACATCCATCTCCTGATATTTTATTTCCATCGTCTCAGTAGGTAGCAACAGCATTGAACTTTTTACCATCACCTCAATCTTCTGTTCATGTATCACTTCCAGAAAGGCTCCCACCTGCTCATGTCCATCCATTTTCTTGCAGTCAAGTATCGCTTCACCCATCACCAGAAATTTTGTTCCCATCATCTCAGAATTCTGATGAAACCTTGATAGCATCTCCTCAGATTGGAGATCAAGTGTCTGGAGTTGTGGAATCTCCATTAGTTCATTCGAAGCCGGTTTCAATTGAACAAGTGCTAGAGCAGCCATCTCCTGAGACCTTTCCACCATCATCTCAATAAGTTGACAATGTATTGAATCTTTTACCATCTCCACAATCTTCGAATCATATAATAGGTGTTTGGGATCATGAACCTGACTCAAACATGCAGCTTTCATTTCATCCATCTCCATTATTGAAGTTGCTATCGTCTCATTCCTCTAAACTAGTTGGTTGGATAGTTCCGTCTCCGCAAGTATTTAAGTCTAAATAAAGTTGAGCTTAAAAATTTCTCAAGATCAATATAAATTGTTAATAAGCCCACTTACTGTTAGGATATAAAGCTGATATAGCCCATGTTAATACAGAATCACCATCAGTGAAACAGAAACTGTACAGAATAAAACTATTGGCTGTTGATTCACTAGATCCTAATTTGTATATCAAACCATTGTTAAAATTATAAGAGTATGTTGTCGCTAAATTCTCTCCAATTATAGAGTTATGGAGCTTAGTATTTATCAAGCCATTACTTCCACTCATTCTGACTCTGTTCCATCCTTCTATAGATTATTAGTTCAACTAAATCTTCTCACTTTTCATTTCGTGAGCATGATTTCCACTACTCTGATATCTTGAATAAATACTCAGCCCTTCTAAAACAATAATTATCTGAGTTTCAACGACCAACTTTAAGATAACTTACCCGTCCTCTTATATCCATCAAATTTGATTCCTTCCAGGGCTCCATTATCCTAAAATTAAAAAAATCTTACATCTATATAGTTCCTTGGAAAACAGTAAATGCATCACTGGTAAAGATGTAGATCCAATACTGGAATGAAAATTTAGATGTAGGAGCTTGAAAAGCACTGTCAATGTTGAGGTATCTAAATATTGTCTCTAAGCTTACTTGCTTGGAGGAAAGAATATTCCTTGATCTACAAGTGTTGGTTGAGCAGCCGGTTCCATGGTGAATGTTGGAGCTCCTGGGGTTGAACTTTCTTCAGTAAATGATGTAGGACTTCCACTAAAAATTGCATCATAGCTTACCTCAGTCCTGCAAACTTGTAATTATATTGGACAGTAAGTATGGGAGTCAATCATAATGCAACAAAGAGTCACAAAATAAGATAGTTTTTCTATACCAAAAAATTATTTTTCTCAAAATTCCACGATTCTTCAATTTCAAAATCTTCACCCAAATAATCCAAACAAAATTTTTAAGTTATTCTAACTTGATATTGCCTTAATATTACTCCTGATTTTGACATGACGATTCTATACTTTGGGATACAAATTTTCTAACTAAAAATCTGAACAAAATCTCTACAACAAATATCCAAATGAAAATCATAATATAACGAAGACAATGAACGATGATGGCAAGAACAGAGATTAGATTCTTTCAATTAAACAAAAGCAAGAAGATATACAAGAAGACTCATAAAACTCTCCTCGTAACTTAAGGTGAGGGCACAGAAAAGAATCTTGAGTCAAAGAAAATACTCAAAGATAGTGGAGGATCTTGATGCTAAAGAAGAGGCTTTGAATTAACAAGTGGGATACGAGTTCTGGAATAATATGATTTGCTGTAGGATATGCATAAAGCCTTAATAATATCTTAGAGAACAAACATTCTCAAATGTAAGAAGCTTAGAGTACTTGAGGTACTCTTATCCTTCTCAGCTTTAGTACAGAGGTGGAGAGAAATTGCTCAAACTTCGTTATGAGGCGTCTTCTTGCAATAAATTCAATAGCGTACATTTGCAAATTTAGAATCTGGGCTGTTATTGTGCACTCAAAAATTAGCTGAAATACACAATCCTGGAATATAAATCAGAAAAATCTTTCCATATAACCTAAAACTTCAAATATCTGCTAAAATTATCGAAAAATTGCCAACTCAGCCAACAAATTACCTCTCCCAAAACTTCACAATCCCTCTCTAACCCCCTTCATAACCTAACTTTCCATCCCAAAAGTATGTTGACCCCTCCAAAACATCCTCATCACCCCTAAAACTCCCTCCACAGCCACTGCCACGATCCTTACATCCCCAAATCCCCACACACTCAACCCATAAAACTCAACTTAAAACATTCCACAGTATAAATTACACCATCGATATTTTCCAACTTATTCCGCACAATAAGACATAAAGTGTTTTTAGGAACAAATAATGATGTTAGAATAGAGAAAGAGGGCAGAAATTTGGACTACTGGAGTGGGATTAGGAGAATTGGGTTAGTTATCTCCACTTCCTCCTCCACCACCTCCCTCACACTCACCTTCTCTCTTCACATTTTTTGTATTCTATACTAGTCCAGTCTATTCTGTTTTATAAATTACTGTTCAACTACGTTCGAAATTTCTGGGGTTTTGGGGTTTTGGGGTTTTGGGG